CAATAGGAATCCTTCTGCGAAGGGAGGCGTTCGGACTCTCCAACGCAATGCTCAAAGAGTGCCAACGCAATGCCACACCACTGCCAAGGCGACCCCAATCCAATGCCAATGGGGGCAATCCTTTGTTGTAGATTTCACTAATATTCCTTTTTGTGGAGGGCTTCAATAGGAATACTTTGCGAAGGGAGGCGTTAAGACTCGCCGTCGCAATGCCAGCGCAATGCTCAAACAGTGCCAACGCAATACCAATCAATGCCAAGGCGACTCGAATCCGATGCCAATGCGATGTCGTGTGGGGCAATCCTTTGTGGTGGATTTCAATAAGAATTCTTCTTCTGGGGGTTGCAATAGGAATCCTTCTGTGAATCGAGGCATTCGGACTCGCCAGCGCAATGTCAGCACACGTCCAACGCAATGCCAGCACAACGTTAACCCAATGCCAATTGGGGGCATCCTCCCTCGGTGTATTTCAATGAGAATGCTTCTGGGATGATGCCATTGCGAACCCATGTTCGGAGGATTTCAATAGGAATCCTTCTGTGAAGGGCTTCGAGTGCAACCCCTCTGTGGAGGATTTCAACTTGACTCGTTCTTGTGTTTGCGTGTGTAATTGTGTGCGCGTGTGGGCGTGTGTGCGTGTGTGCGTGTGTGTGTGTGGGTCGCTAGGCATCCTTCTTGTTGGGGTGGAGTAAAACGAATTTTCCTGTGGAGCGTCCGGTTAGGACTCGCCAGCGCAATGCCAACGCAGTGTCAACGCAGTGCACAACCAATGCCATGGCGATCCCAATCCAATGCCAATTGAATGCCAATGGGGGCAATCCTTTGTGTTAGATTTCAGTAGGAATCCTTTTTGTTTGTGGAGGGTTTCAATAGAAATCCTGCTGCGAGTGGAGTAATGGGGATTCGCAAGCGCAATGCCAGAGCAATGCCAAAGCAGTGTCAACGCAATGCCAGCGTAATGCCAAGGCGATCCCAACCCAATGCCAATGCACTGCCACTTGGGGGGATCCTTTGTGGTTGATTTCAATAGGAATCCTTCAGTGGAGGGCTTCGCATGTAATCCTTCTGTGGAGGATTTCAATGTGAACCCTTTTTGTGGAGGGTTTCAATGGTAGCCCTTCTTTTGGGGGTTTCGATGGGGGTCCTTCTGTGGAGGGTTCCACCAGGATTCGCCAGCGCAATGCTTGCGAAGTGCCAGCACAATGCCCGCGCACTGCAACGCGCCATTCCAGCGCACTGCCAAGCCAATGCCAACGCAACGCCAACGGGGGGATTCTTTCTTCCGAAGCATAGCAATAGCAATCCCTCGGCAGGTTGTCCCACTAGGAACCAACATGTGGAGGATTTCAATAGCAATCCTCATGTGGAGGGTTTTGATAGGAATCCTCCTGTGGAGGATTTCGCCATGAACCTTTATTGTGGGGGCTTTCAATCGGAATCTTTCCAGAGGTGAGGGCAGATGCGGCCACGTCGGATTTTTTTTTTCGCCGCCCCCCCCAGAAAAAAAAATCAGCTTCGCGTTTGTTTTTCCCTCCTGGGAGGGGGGGGGTGAGGAGAGAAATCAAACGCCTGGGAGGTGGGAGGGAGGAGGAGGAGGAGGAGGACAAAGGAGGAGGAGGAAGAGGACTAGAAGAGGAGGAGGGGGAGAAGGAGGAGGAGGAGGAGGAAGATGAGGAGGAGGAGGAGGAGGAGGAGGAAGAGGAGAAGACATATGGGTAATCATGCGTTACCCCGCAGGAAAACCATACGAAAACACCACTCGAAAGGCGAGGTCCGCCACAATCCCCCGTTCTCGAGGAGGAGGGTGACGAGGAGGAGGAGGAGGAGCGAGGAGGAGGAGGCGGA